TGATCAGCTCTTTTAATGACTTTTCTACTTGTTGTTCCTCGTATATATTCTGTCATTTGACCAATGTCCCTACGCAGTAATTCAATCTTGTTTAGAAGCCGTTTCTCGCAGGGTGCAACTCTGTTATCAGTCCTTCCGGCATTGGTACCCTGTCGTGTTCTGATCTTAATTCCCATTATATTAGCTGTTGCTGTTGCTGCACAGTAAATAAGCATATGCAAATATTCCAGCGTATGGGCTTCTACGACGTAATTGGGTAGGACTTCAGTATTTATAATTTGTAACAGATCACTTAGATTTTTAGAAGAGTTTATTTTTGGTAGCGGTGGTCTGCTAAGTGGATTTGTTCCATTAAACTCTTGTACAGCTTGTACCATTTCGCTTACCAGAGTATCGCGTAACTCGTTGTTGTCCTGTAGTGTATTATCAGGTTGAGTTTCTTTCATGGTAAGCTCAGGAATCTGCTCATGTCTCTCATTAGGGACTTGATCTACATTTACCTCTTGGTGATTAATCTCCCGTTAGACTTCGCTTCTGATGGTATTGCGTCTAGCCTTTGGGATAAGATTATTTCTTGTAATTACCCGGTATTGATCAGCAACTCGTTGTTCAGTTACTTGAATTTCTGGGTACTCCCTGCAAAATTCGGCATAGAGATTTTGTCGATACCCGATCGTTTCTTGACCGAGGTTTGTCACCTGGTAATAGAAGCGCAAAATATTCTCATTTATGGACGCAGTCCATTTCATGCGCTGCCTCGGTCGTCCCGCTTGGGTGAGCGCCGGCTGATGTTCCAGCGCAGCACCTTCAGCGAGTGGAGCTCTTGTTGTTGTTTGGCTCGCTTGTGGTTGTTCTTGCTGTTGTTGTTGGGCTGTAGCTGATTGTATGACAGGGGCCCGCCTCCTCAACACCCTGCCACCGACGTCTCGCATGCTGTCACGTCCAGCTCTGGCTGCAGACGTGCCCTGGCGATCCCCAGGTAGCGACCCTAAACGTAAATTATTATTTTCCATTATCATGGGTGTGCATTTTATACCTACTGCCAGGTGTCAGTTTTTGTTCCACGACAGGTATTCCTGTTACCCTCGGGGTATCTGCGCTACGGATACCCAGAAAGCATCCCCCATTTGCAGGGGGCCGCGCCTGATAGAAGAACTGATAAAAACTCCCACAGGTCAGTTGCAGCATTATTATTATTATTATTATTATCATTATTATGAATTCAACGAAATACATTATATTGTACAGTTTTATTTTTATTTAAATATTAAACTTATTTTAATGGTTAAAATAATAAAAAAATTAAACATAACGTTATTATCTACGTCATTTTTGAAAACTGTAACTGTAAACCTTTGCGCGGTTGCCTTTCACTTGATGAATCGTAGAAAATCTTCAAAAATTCAACAAATTTTTTTATTTTCTTTTCATTACATTTTAATACTAACTATCCTATTGCCAACTAATACAAATCCAAAGACATAAAAATTTTTTTTACAAAAAATGTATCGACAACTACACTGTTTTCGTTTATAACAATATGTCAATATGATGGGGTTAAAAATCGAAAATAACAATAATTATAAATATTTAAAATCAATTTTCGTTTATTAAAATTTTAAATTACGGCAAAACTATCAGTCCTAGCTATAGGTTATTCGTATATCATTCGAAAGAGAATTTTTTTTAAAATTTAATAATTCATTAATATACAGGGTGTTCTATTTAAAATAAGCCTTATATTACACATTGAATAATCCAATAATGAAACTACAAATTTTCCCCATACAAATGAAACACCCTGTAAATAAATGTTTAATAATTAATCATGACATACATTCGACCAATATCCAGCTATTTAGATGTATGAGTAATTTTATTAGAATTACTTAAATAAATTAAGAATGAGTCCTCGTTTAAAGTTTTACATTTTAAGAAAATTCGACATAACTCAGAACACTCTGTACATAGGTATAGGGAAGTCTTATGAAACTATACGTTATTTTTTGCAGACAATTAGAAAATTCAATAAAATACAGGGTGTTCTATAAGAAAAATTATAATTTTAAAACGCTGCGCTTTATTGTGACATCCTGTATATTTTAGAATAATTTTAAAATGTAGCCTTTATCAACCTACATACTATAAATGTAAAATTTTTTCAAAATCTTTTACCGTTTCGCTGTAATCTTCCGTCCCGATAGTGGTGACTCACCCTGTATACCATTGCCCAGTAAGTATTAGTTGTTTGTCAAAATGCACACTGGTATATAGACACCTATATATACTACCTTTTCCAGCCCCACTGACAAAGAAAATTTTTTTCAACAATTTTTTGGCTTGTTAATGATCCATAATAAATTACTTTTACTATTTAAAAGTATATTTTAACAAAAAAATAGTTCTGCCAGTTAAAGTGTTAAAGCAAAATAAATAAAGCAAATTAAATAATTTAATTGTATATTATATAATATTTATGTATAACCCTTAAATGCCCGTGATATGAAAATAACCATAAATGCCCATGTGGGGTCTCCTAGGGACCCCACTAAAATTTTCAATTAAGTAACGTCATTTAGCACTGACTAAAAGGAAAACACGGTTAAAAATAATTTTAAGCATATTTGAATAATTTTTATTTATTTTTCATACAAAATTAACGGCTTTTCTAGAAACAAATTCTTTTCAATTCGAACAAAATTAAAATTAAATAATAATATAAGCATATAACTTTTAGTTGCAATTTTTACATACAATAGTTTTTTCTTCTTTTCTGTGCACCTGGCATATAAATTTTTTGCAAAAAGAGCAAACGGTATTCACTTTTCTGTCACAGTTTCGCGGACACTGGTAACAACGAGCACGTTTCTTAGCTGAATGGACGGATTGAGTTGCAACTTCGGTAGTTGGGTTTACCATTGGTATGCCACAATCTTTTAGAGCAGATTTTACATAGGCTTTATGTTTTATATATTTCGCTCTTTTTTCCATGTTGTTTCGAGCAAGCTCAGCCCCTAATTGTAACAGGAAAATACGTCTTCGTGAAAAATTATTTTTCTTCCAATCAGGATTTTTTTCAATGTATAAAATATAGGCATTTAGTGCACATATGTCTATAATATTCATAAAGAGCCTAAATGGCCAACGAGCAGTTCTTCTTTTACAGGAATATTCCCTAATCAGTTTGTCGGCATTATCAACACCACCCTTGGTATTATTATAGTCTAAAATCATCAAGGGTTTGTTTTGAGAGTCTTGACAAATTATATCACTATCGTGTTGACTTGAAAGAAGATGTACCATCCTGTGTATTTTAGGTATGTACGAAACCATAGCTAATTCTTTAGTAAAAGCAAATATTGACGACTTCGCAGGTCTTTTTGTCAAATTTAGTTGTGGTGGTGTATCAGGTTTATTTTTGCGGACGGTCCCAAGTAAAGTAAGGTTTTTAGATAAAAGATATTGAGCAAGAGGAACACTGGTAAAAAAGTTGTCAGTTGTAATTCCTCTCCAACTGCCATGATATGGATCCACCAGATCTTTGACAACACGAAATCCCTGATTTTTCTCTATTCTACCACCTGGTAGTTTTCCATTTGATAAATAAGATGTTTTAACATCCGCGGCAGCCCAAATTTTTATCCCATAGCGGCAAGGTTTTGATTTTATATATTGTCTAAAAGGACAATTACCTCTAAAACTCACTAACTGTTCGTCAACGGTTATATGTTCGTATGTTTCAAAGGCTTTGTCACAGTTAGAGACGAACATGTCCCAAATTACTCGTATCGCCGCTAACTTATCCTGTTCCTTCCGCTCCACCCTGGTCACTTTGTCATCAAACCTCAAGAAACTCGATAATTCTTCAAATCGGTTCCTAGCTAATGCGGTTGTAAAAAATGACCGGCGTATTGAGGTGTCTGTAGACCATATCTCTCGTGTCGATTCTTTCTCACACCTTAAAGCACCTGCTTTGATAAGTGCTCCTAAAAAGCTATCCAGTTCAATGTTGGTAAGTACCGTCCACTCTTTTTTGTTATTCGGATGTTTTTCGTTCCACTCTTGATAACGCCTAACAGCTTCTTCATTAGTATGAAGGCATATGACATTCTTCATCTCTTCGGTCAAAAATAAATTGGAATGGTCTAAAAACGTGTTGGAATTTTTACTATAGTTTGTTAAGCCTGGATGTACATGTACATTTATAATATTTTTTTGTTGCCTCTTGGATCTCACGAAAGGTAGGCTATTCCACTGCATTCCAGATTTGGATGTATATGTTGGACCACTAACCTCACTAATATTATCGTCCACTTCGGTAGGTTCTGCATCTGATTCCTCGTCACTGTTGACTTCTAAATTGTCCTCAGTTTCCGAAACATTTTCCTCAAAAACATCTTGCTCTTCGCTATCTGATTCGTCGGTAATCTCATAGTCGAAATCGGAGTCTGATATCCCTTCTTCTATATTTCGGATAATTTTTTCATGTTCTTGGTCGCTTATTGTCATTTTCATTCTCTTACGGTCCATTTTTCAATGTAAACTGACGAAAAATGTTAAAAATAATAAAAATATTCTGGTGCCTCTAAATGCCCAATCGGGTCACAGCGAGACCCCACTTATCTAAATCTCTCTTACAGACCACTGCACCTCACGAATGTTCGTGGTATACTTTACTAACAGAAAACGTAGGAGACACGTCCACACAAATACCTGATTGCGCGGTTGCCAAATGTTTCAAATAAAGATATTATAGCGAAAAATGTATGTCTGGGGTCCCATAGTGACCCCGATTGGGCATTTAAGAGATAATCAAAAATATTTTTTTTTATATTTTTTATTATATTTTGGATTTTAAAATAAACTCAATTAAAATAAATTGTTTCAAATTAAAATAAATAAACGAAATTACCTTTTTAAAATGTTTTTTTTTGTGTCGTTGTCTCAAAATGTTTACTGAATTTTTATGAATTTTTTTTATCTTTTACAAATTTTTTCAGCTAAACAAGAGGAATCGGCAGTTAAACGAATAAAACTTGAATACGACGAAATGCGCATGGTTCAAAGAGAACTAGAAGTTTGGGAAATCATAACTAACAAAGAAGGCAGCCAAATTAAGGTCGACTCTCAGATGCTTCTACAAGCAATTCGTCAAGGTGTTCCTAGAGCAAAGAGAGGTGACGTGTGGCAGTTTTTAGCAGAAAAATATGTAGCGAATATTGCTCCTCCTGATACTTCAAAATATCCGAATTATCATATGTCTTATGAGAATTTGTTGAAGCAACTTACATCTTATCAACACGCTATTCTTATAGATTTAGGTAAAGAAATCAAATAATATTTAAATATAAATAATAGTATTGGAAGATTCAAAACGGAACATACGAATTATTAATACAATTATTAAGATCCCCTGACCTGCAATTACCCAGTGTAAATTTCAATATAACGTCGCGATGTCTTATAATTAATTCATTTGTTCGACTGGATTGCTACTCCTTGGCGATTTCTAAAAGCGTATTCGACAGGTGTACGTCGACACTGTTGTCTATCGTCCACTGATTTTCTGTGTTTTTGTGCAGATAATAACAATGTTTTATTAATAACAATTTTTTTGTGTTCATTAGATATTATTTGAATCGGTTAGTGTATAGTTTAATATATTTATTATTCCAAATATTGTTGATAATTTAAAATTTAAGAGGATGTATACGATACATCAAAATCTACAGATTTTTGCCGAAGGTATCTATCGATTTGGCAACAGTCCCAAGGAACTTCACTGGCCGAGCAAAACAAATACATGCCCTTTGCTTTGCTTCTCATTATAACGCCATAAGCTGAAATAAAAGTAGTGTTTCTAACCATAAACCATGTATACAAACAAAGAAAAAGTACAAATTTTAAAATGGTATTATGGGGGCAACTCGTACCGTGATATTATAAATTTATTTACTTGTGCGCATGAAGATAGGCCAATACCGACACAATCAACTATTAGTCGTATTATTAACGTGCGCACGTGCGCAGCAGTCGAAAAATATCGACTGGAGAAGGAGTCCAGTCGAACAAATGAATTAATTATAAGACATCGCGACGTTATATTGAAATTTACACTGGGTAATTGCAGGTCAGGGGATCTTAATAATTGTATTAATAATTCGTATGTTCCGTTTTGAATCTTCTAATACTGTATAGGTACTGAAAAAGCGGTAAACGCTTGTAATTAATTCTGATCGGTTATACTACAAACAGAACTATTTGGGTATGCAGCGGAAGATAGGACAAACAAATACTCTTTTTAGTCTACCAAGCTTTCGCAAATATTTATTTGCATCATCAGGGTGCTACAATAAACACAAGTGATTTTTTTTATTCTGTAATTTGCTGTAAATACGAACAAGCTGACTTTAGCCGCCAATATTATTTAGAGACCCAAAAAAGATACAAAAAAGTTTACTACTTTTACCACCGGGCTTCCCAAAAAAATGTTTTAAATAAAAAATGTAGCTAGGGTAATTTCAAACAAAAGTATCTTTTAGCACTTTTTGTGTAGAATCAACCGTTCTATCACAAACAACGCTTGAAGCGGCTATCGATTTGGAACCTCAAGTAAAAGTTGTATCAGCTTGACGGTAAAAATTCGATATATTTTGATTCAAGTGTCATTAATTACTATTAAACTGGGAATAAGCCACGATTAAAGATAAAAATACGTTTATTGACGTTTCAATTTCCACTTCGGAAATCGTTCTCAAAATACAAACAGTAAATTAAACAAATTTTGTTTTTTGTTACATAGTGAAAAATTCTTCTAATAATTTAATTTTATCTGACTCATTTATATTGACAATTCAGACATACATTATGCATTTTAAAGTAGACGACTTTAAAATGATATTGCCAATATTGTTGAGTTGCGCTTATGGGACGACTTTACTTATAAGATAGTTCATTCGATTACATGAAATCAACTTTAACTTGAGAATATCCGTCAGAAAAAAAATCATAGCATGTAATTCGTCTTTAAAAAGACAAACACATGACATGATGACAGTAAAATTCTCCTGTTAGTGATTCCATAGTAAATTATGAGGGAAAACCAGGAAAAAAACCTCATAATACTATCCCGACATTGTAAGTATTTGTTCGTGAATTTAGTTTACCTTCAACAAACATCAAAATTCTGATTTTATATGTTACGTTATTTAAAAAAAACATAAATGATGTATCCTCTATATTTTACTGACTTACTAATACTGGTATTTCCTTATTAATAACTTCCTCTTTCAATATTGGTAACCAGATCCTACTACATTCTGCCGAGGAATTTGCGACACAATTGGCCTCATTTAGCATAATTAGAGCCGCTTCTTTGATTTTTCTTTTTTTACCATCCGTTTCTTTTAGGACTACATTTGAATTATTCCATTGAACCCTATGTTCATTATCCCATGCGTGTTTACAGATTTGAGATCTATCAAATTCTTTATTTTTAATATAAGATTGATGTTCACTTATTCTAACATTTAATGGCCTTGATGATTCACCTAAATAAAACTGATCGCATTCACAAGGTATTTTATAAATGCAATTCTTTGTCCTTTCTTGTTCATTGTTAGGTTTGGTTTTGGACAAAATAGATCTCAAAGTGTTTGTTATATAATTATACTAAATGTATAATTAGTAATTATACTAAATGAGGCCAATTGTGTCGCAAATTCCTCGCCAGAATGTAGTAGGATCTGGTTACCAATATTGAAAGAGGAAGTTATTAATAAGGAAATACCAGTATTAGTAAGTCAGTAACATATAGAGGATACATCATTTATGTTTTTTTTTAAATAACGTAACATAAAATCAGAATTTTGATGTTTGTTGAAGGTAAACTAAATTCACGAACAAATACTTACAATGTCGGGATAGTATTATGAGGTTTTTTTCCTGGTTTTCCCTCATAATTTACTATGGAATCACTAACAGGAGAATTTTACTGTCATCATGTCATGTGTTTGTCTTTTTAAAGACGAATTACATGCTATGATTTTTTTTCTGACGGATATTCTCAAGTTAAAGTTGATTTCATGTAATCGAATGAACTATCTTATAAGTAAAGTCGTCCCAGGAGCGCAACTCAACAATATTGGCAATATCATTTTAAAGTCGTCTACTTTAAAATGCATAATGTATGTCTGAATTGTCAATATAAATGAGTCAGATAAAATTAAATTATTAGAAGAATTTTTCACTATGTAACAAAAAACAAAATTTGTTTAATTTACTGTTTGTATTTTGAGAACGATTTCCGAAGTGGAAATTGAAACGTCAATAAACGTATTTTTATCTTTAATTGTGGCTTATTCCCAGTTTAATAGTAATTAATTTACAATGCCACACGAAAATAGCTTCAGAACGATTCAAGTGTCATATCGATAAAAATCAAGATGTGTTTTAAAGGTAAAGAATTCAGATTTCATATGCAATTTTTGTATTGTGCCACAAATAAAATCAGATTTTATAAATATGTTAAATAAATAAACGTTACGCTATTTTTGCCATTTTTACCAAAAAATTTTGGTTGACGTTGGAAATAAAATAACTAGGTATTCTGATTAATGAATGAGTTTCGATTTTCGATTGATCTGCATTTTCGATTTAAAATCTTTATTGATATTTCGTCAAAGGATTTGTTTATTGTAAATATTCAATTAAGAATTCTTTCTCTTAGTAAAAATTAGTGACCTAGTATAGGAATAATACTTTTATCTTCAAAAAATGCACATTTGTAGAAGACGCAGCTTTCATTGTCCAATTTCTGAATGTTGCAGTTATTGAAATTTCTCCTGCCGCATTTCTGTCCGTTTCGATTACTTTTACCACAAGTACTGACATACTGCCACTGCCAACCAAGCTTCAAAAGGTGATGGATACTTTCGTTAATAAAAATATTAGTTTAGAACAAAAGAAACAAATAGATATGGATTTACTAAACCTATGAAAAGACTCGTTTTATCCGTTTTCCATAGTTGAAGAACAAGCTTTTAAAAAAATTGCAGGGTGGATTCCTAGATATAAACCGCTAACAAGAAAAAATTTGTCAGGTTCATTACTTCAGGAATGTTATATCAAAACTGAGCAACTTATTAGATTACAAGTTGTTAAAGAAGTAGAAAATATCTGTATTACTACTGACCTCTGGACATCTGGAGTAGCTGAGAGTTACATCGCATTAACAGGACATTATTTATCCGAAAAGTTAGAATTTTAAACGGTTTTATTAGGCTGCTGCCATTTTTCTGTAAAGCATAATTCAGAAAACATCACTTTTGAAATTTTTAATCAGTGGGATCTAAAACTAAAAGTAAATTTTGCAGTAACTGATAATGCCTTAAATATGATCGAAGCTATTAAATATGTTTTGGAATGAAAACATTTAAATTATTTTGCTCATATGTTAAATTTATTGGTGGAAGACGCACTTAAATGCTGTCGTGTACAATAGATAAAATAAAAACTCTTTTACATTTCGGCAAAAAACACATTTAAAAAAAGTACCTTTTGTTCAGAAAATCTTTTAAAGTATTAATTACAACTTAACAAAGTTCCCAAACGGCCAATCCAGGACTTGGAAAGTAGGTAGAACTTCACCTATTACATGCTAAAAAGAATGATCGAGTTAGAAGAGGCAATCCGTTCCACATTGGTATTAGTTAATACAGACTTAGACTTAGACCAAATCTAAATAATGAAGACTGGATTATTTGTTCTCAACTTTTCCAAATTTCAAGGCCTTTTAAAGAAATAACAAGTACAATGAGTGGCCAAAAATACTTGAAGGGAAGTTTAGTGATTGTTATGGTACGCTGCCTGCAAGAATCTTGTAATAAAATTTTAGAAAACGGTAACCTTACATCCATAGTATCCGACGTAGTACAATTAAAAATATCGAGTTTAGCAAAAAGATTTAGAGGAATAGAACAGAGTGGCACATTGTCATTATGTACATTTATGGATTCATGATTTAAAGTGCAGTGATTTTCTGATAAAACTTAAGGTAAAAAAAATAAAAGAAAGAGTTAAAAAGCTGATTACTTCTACAATTAAAAAACAAGAAGTTTGTACTATTAAAAATCAACCAGTACAAGAAAAAGAAACCTATAAAGATGACTTAAGTCCATGGTATATTTTTGATGAATTAATTGAACATGACTCATCTAAACGTACACCTCTATCGAGAGTCCATTACCAGGGTGGAAAAATCATCGCCTTGTATATCCTAACTTAACCACTATATTCATAAAATATTGTAAACGTGGACACATGTTCAAAATCTGGTTTAATTTTAAATAAAAGAAGAACACGGTTAACAAGAAGTAAAGAAGAAAAACTTATATTTTTAAATATCAATTTAGACGATTCGCGATTTAATAATAACGTGTAATGTAAATGTTAGTACGATTTACTATTTGTATTATTTAGTTTATTTTTCAAGTTATAATAAATATATCCTTCATTAGTTTCTTTCATTTTATTAAATATACACATAAACGATAAAAGCCATTATGTTTGTTTATGTAGGTACTCTCTTACTTGAAATTACTGTTAAACAATTACTTGTTTACGAAAATCGGTTCAGTTGCGTTAACGACAAAAACGTCAACGACCCACCTCTACTCGTTACCACTGTCTTTACTTTGATTCTGTGTTTTGACGACGCGACACGAGACGTGGCCAAAAAATTTTGTATGAAGCTTTTTTATTGTGGTTATTATTTTATCTATATATATATATATATATATATATATATATATATATATATATATATAGATAAAATATATATATTGCAGTCTATTATTTTTATTGGGAATAAGGCACAATGTGACTTTAAAATAAGCTTATTTATTTTGATATTTAGATTTTTATTAGAAAATTGTACTTAAAATACGAAACATTAATAAATTTTATTTATATAAAACGATTTCCGAAGTGGAAATCAAAATGTTATATTACACTTATTGTAAAGTAAAATTGTGGCATATTCCCAATAAAAAACAGTAGGCTGCCATTTAAATCCATTTCGCCCAAACTTAATTATCTTAGAAGATTGATCAAATGCTAAAAAGACAACAGGTCAAATAAAACCAATAAGTTTGGCAACGTTGAACTTTCCCTTTTTTATTATTTACACTCATGCATATTCGGCGATATAAAGGGCGGACCTAATATACCTCTCTCTTTATAAACAGGTGTTCCTCACTCCATCTCACGTAAGGTCCATATCGACCATAAACTTTTACCTATAATGTATAAATTAAAATTTAAAAAAATACGTAAAAATAAATACTAAAGTAGTATTTTTAAGAAAACCTTATGTGGTAGACTATTTTTGATTATGTATTTTATTTCTACTCATCAAAATACACAAGAAATGGTGGAAATAATACATTTCATATTTTACTTCATTGTCATTAATTATTTAGTATATTAACTTTTTAGGCAGAACTTTTCCTAATCATTCATACTTCAGTAGTCCTCTAGGACCCGGACAATTAGCTCTTTTTAATCTACTGAAAGCCTATTCCCTTCTTGATCCTGATGTTGGATACTGCCAGGGCTTAAGCTTTGTAGCTGGTATTCTTTTATTACATGTAAGTAACATTTATACGTTTTATAAAAGTTTTTAAAAGACCACTGCAATGGACTAATAATTTTTCCAAAACAAAATTTAAATAAGAGATATGTTACGTAACAGCATCCAAATCGAGCAAATAATATTTAATTTAAGTTTAAGCTATTATTCATTTGAGCTAAAATTTTTTGAATGTTGTTGGGGGTTTATAACAAAACAAATATAAATATAAAATTGATTGAAGCGGTAAAAACATTGTCCTACCAACAAACAACAAGAATTAAAACAGGAAATCTGATAACACCAGGATTCAAAGTGACTAAAGACTAAGATTTGATTCTGCATATCTCCAACATTATTTAAAATATACCTTGAAAAACACTGAACAAATAAAAGAAAAAATGTACGAATATGGGCATACCACTAATGGACTTAACTTTGTACATTCTATACTTTGCGGATGACCAGGTCATTACCGCACATAACTCTGAAGACCTTAGTTACATAATGCGAACACTATTAGAAGAGTTTATAGAGTAGGGTTTGGAAGTGAATATGGAAAAAAACCGAGTACATGGACAGGACGGAAAATTAGATGCAGCCATTAAGGAACGAAACACACAGGGAAGGAAAGGCATAACCTTACTGAACAACGTACTGTGGGATAAAAACATCTCCAAGGAAAATAAAAGAACAATATACAACACCATAATAAAAAGTATCACAACATATGAATGCGAAGTGTGGCCACTAAAAGACAGAACAGAGAAAATGCTTAGAGCAACAGAAATGGACTTCTGGCGCCCCTCGGCGGAAATCTCTATATGCGACAGAATAACAAACGAGAAAGTCCGAGAAATCATGGGGGTTACACATAATATTGTTGATGACATCAACACGACACAACTCAGATGGTACGGATATGTAAGGAGAATGCCGGAGAATAGAATACCAAGACCAATTTTTGAGTGGCAACCAAGAGGTAGGCGGAGACCAGGAAGGCCTAGAAGAAGTTGGAGAAAAGAAGTTAATGATAATGAAATCAGGGAAAGAGAAGTGGAGGTCGATGTATGGAACGATAGAATGAGATAAAGATTTTTAATCGGAAGACGTCGAAGAACGTTGTAAACCGACTTTATATATGTATATATATATATATATATATATATATATATATATATATATATATATATATATATATATATAGCTAAGATTAATATTATTACTAAAATTAATATCAAACTCACCAGTCTTCCGGGTTGAACCGCGTCGTTGTCCATTTTGCCAAGCTTTCGGCATCCTCTCTGATGCCTTCCTCAGGGCTTCCGAGGTCTCAGTCTCCCGAGCCCCCAGACACTACTACACTGTTCACTATTCACGGCACTGTCACTGTCACTGACACCTGTTAACCACCTGTGGCTGATTAAATAGCCATAATGATTAACGTTATTACATACATATGAGGTTGAATGAAAATCTCCTGTTTGTAAATCTGGGCTGATTAGTGAGAGGAGTTGCTATTACAATACCAGTTTCTTTCACTGTTTTGTCTTTTACAACCGGGTAGTCATCCAAACTCATTTAAACTTTTAAATTGACCGCTCAATTATTTGGGTTGGTACCTCCACCTTGTTGATCTGTCAAAAGTATTTTGACCTCAAGGTTGGCTGTCTTTTCGCGGTTTAGTTCGTTCCGGTTTATCTAACGCCATTTTCCCGGCGACACTTGTAGGGCTTTGATCGGTAACTTCATTTACACTACTTTTATAATTTTTATTAATATCACTTATACTGCTACCTAAAGTTAAAATCAAAGCTTAATAATCATAAAATAGTTGGAAGTTATCTATGATTTTCTTGGTTCTTGCTCACTATTTAACATTAAATAACATTTAATTTACTTTAGACCACATGGTCATTTGCTGTGCTAATTTTATAAGTTCATATATGTTGTTAGTTACTTAACTGTTTATACAAAATCAGCGTATTATGTCCATTTACTTAGTTTCATTCACATTATTGTTAATAACATTGACTGCTACATGTCTTTTTAAGGTAACAATTAACATCGTTTCCATGATTGTGTGGTTCTCATATTGTGCTTTTTTAGATGAACTGATGATGCTTTCAAAACTCGAAAGCGAAACGTCTTCAAAATAGATAAAGTAGCCTATCAACTTTGTCTTTTATTTCTCCACCTAGAGACCGATATAAGAACCCACCACTCGTCTGAGTGATCCTTATATATATTGGATTGACGGTCGTACTCCTTTTTCCGATATATATATATATATATATATATATATATATATATATATATATATATATATATATATACAGAGTGGTCCAAAAGTCTGGAAACAGCTAATTATCTCGTAAAATGCTAACCATAATTGTACACCTATTTTGGGATTCACACCTATTTTGGGATACGGAGATTCCATATTTGATATTTACAATGTTGCCCGATTTGCCGTTTTTCTTATATTATTAGTAACTTTGGTTTTTCAAATACATCACCCTGTATATTCAGTCATTATTGGAATCTCCTATTCAATACGAGTTTATGTAACACTTATGATTTTATGTAATCTGGAAGTTCATAAATACATAAAACCGAAGTCTGGCAACGCCTAAATTGTTTCAATACGTTTTTTAATACTAACATATATATATATATATATATATATATATATATATATATATATATATATATATATATATATATATATATATATATATATATATATGTATATATATATATATATATATATATATATATATATATATATATATATATATATATATATATTTATATATATATAGTTATATATATATATATATATATATATATATATATATATATATATATATATATATATATATATATACAGATTGAACGAAATAAATTCGGAACATAGGAATATAATGTATTTCGGCTCAATTCTGCTGTAGCTGGTTGGTCAACAAAAGATTGTCAAATAATTATATTATAAAAAATCCCATACTTTAGCGGGCTGCTGGATTCTGAACTCATAAAAATTGAAAGCTACACATAAATCTACGATTATGCTGTCAAACCAGTTATAGTCCAGGAAATGTAGCATTTCACCTCGCAATTTTTTCGTGCGGCGTGGATTGACTTGAAATTTAACAGAAGGTAGGTAATAGCCTAAGGATCAAAATCTATATCGAACCAAAGTGCGCCAAAGCCTAGGGGGGGTTGCCACCCCATCTCCGGGGTGAAAATTTTTTTACGTTTTAACTACAGGTTTCGATTAGAAAAGTGATTCTAAACAAAAAATGTGCTATACATTTTTTTTATAAAATGATATTTTCCAAGTTATTCGCGATTGAAAGTAACAACTTTTAGACGAAAAAATCCACGTTTTTAATCGATTTTTCGCGAATAACTCGAAAATGGTGCATTTTATCAAAAAAATTGTAAAGAACAAATTTGTAGCTTTTAAAAAGACAAATACAATTACAAATACAATATCAATGTTCAGCGGTTTTCTTCAAATGCCAAATTTGAAAGATTCAAAGTCAAATATCGGGAAAATGATGCATTTTTGGAAGAAAACTCACCTTTTTTAAAGAGCATAAATAGACCTATCATAAAAAAATAAGGTCAATACCTCATTTTTTACGAAAATATCAAGGAAAACAACACCCTAAACACCCCCATAATTAAAATCGATCTTCACCCTTCTGCAATTCCCTTTGTAGATGTATTGTTAATACGTTCAAGAAGTTTGACCCATTTAAAATGCTTAGTTTTAGAAAAAGTACAGCTTAAAGCGAGAAACGATTTACAATTTCATATTTTTTAACCTTCTTTTTTTAAATATTCCCGAAAATACTGAATATATGAAAAAAATAAAAATTACCAAATTGTAGCTTTTTAGTGACTAAAATTATCCTTTATTTACATTTGTTGTACAATGAATATTTGGCGAGATATAGCCGTTTAAAGCATCGATATACGATCAAGCACCATCTTTTTCGAGCCCTTTAAACTCACCCCATTTAAAAACCAAGGGTTCCAAAAAGATTTCATTCACAGATCCTTGTAGCTATTAAAAACCTCTACAAATCGTTTTTGAAGAAACATCTATCGTTAAAAATTAAAGGAAATACGTTAAAAAAACCAGTTAATTTTTTTCCGGAAAATTCCATTAGTATAGTACAGTACATTTCGGAGCATAATAATCTACAAAACCGGTATATTAGCTAGTGGGGCGTTATACATTCGAAATTTTAAGCGTTCTTATTTTGAAATCCCATACAACAGAATAAAACATCTGCTCACATTTCTATGGCTTGGCAATGAAAATATCAGAGCAACAGATTGGGGATGGTTTTCCAAAGATGGTTTGTTATTACCCGTACGCATGAACAAACAACCTGCACCCGATAAATTTTTGAAAATTATTTTTTGCCAATGCAAAAAAGGATGCGGCGTTTCATATGGGTGCAGAAAAGTTGTTTTATACTGTAACTCCACTTGTTCTGGGTGCTCAGGTGAAGGGTGCAATAACAGTCCACCAATAATTGAGGAAGATGATGATGACATAGATCACGATGAAGATGTAATTGATGACGAAAAAAATTAATATTATAATTGTTTTACCTATAAATGTAAATATTTTCAACTATTTATGTAAATGTATAAGAATATATGGTGCCTTTTTATGTTGATACTTTTTTTTGTATTTAATTCTACTTTTTTCAATTTATATCTTATAAATTAGTTTATAAAAACTTCAATGTTGTAAAGGGTGATTTTCAAAAGTTGAAAAGTTGCAAAATTTTGGCAAAAAATTGTTTTCACCTATAGCACTCATAACAATTGATTTTTAAGGGTTGAAAATGTATGAATTTGTATTTTAAAGTATAAAAAACTCACTATTTAACTAATCCAAACCAAATTTCACTCATCTTAGGATTTGTAATATTATTTTACAATTTTTGAAAATTAGGGGTAGTTTTCACCCCTAAGAACAATCAGGGTTCATCGGCATGACATAAACTATAAAGCAGAGGGTGAGTTGAGCTTAATTCCAAATTTTTATGCAAGTCGTTTCAAGGTGAAATCATTTTCTTCGCATTACTAATTTTTTTATATTAATCTCTAATGAGGGTCGCTTTTTAAGGGTTGAAATATGATGGAACTTTATTGAAAACCACGAAACTATCATTATTTAATTAATTTACACCAAATTTTACCCATATTTAGGTTTAATATGTTATTTTATAATTTTTGACAATTAAGGGTAGTTTTCACCCATAAGAACAATCAGGGTTCGTCGACATGACATAAACTATAAAGCAGCGAGTAAATTGAGCTTAAATCCAAATTTTTATCCAAATCGATACAAGGCGAAATCATTTTTTTAGAATTAGTAATTTTTTACATTAATCTCTAACAATAGTTGCTTTTTAAGGGTTGAAATATGATGGAACTCTATTCAAAAGTATAAAATAATCATTATTTAATTAATTCAAACCAAATCTTACCCATATTCAGGTTTAATATGTTATTTTATAATTTTTGACAATTAGGGGTAGTTTTCACCCCTAAAACCCTTCAGCGCACTTCGATTCGATATAGATTTTGATCCTTGGGCTATTACCTACCTTCTGCTAAAATTTCAACTGGATACATGCAGGGCGAAAAAATTGCGAGGTTTTAACTTTTTTCGAGATTCAATTCCTGAACTATTATCGCCTCCTTAGACAAACCCGTCTTACGCAAACAACTTGCGAGACAGATAGTTGAACGATATTTTATACAATGTCTATACCCAGGTATGGATTTATTTTTGTCCAAGTTTTATATTGGTCCACTATTTTAAATGCAGTTCAAACAGACATGTATTAAACTGTATGTTCCGTTTTAATTTGGTTCAATCTGTATATATATATATATATATATATATATATATATATATATATATATATATATATATATATATATATATATACTTTTGTTTGTTTTGAGGTTTCCGCGGGAGCTATATGTGCTGTCACTATTTTTCCGGGTTTGACTCCGCGTTGTATTCTCATTGACAGTGATCTCAAATGGTCCTTGCATACTGACTCCTTAAGGAAGAAACTAGCCTCAGCTTGCTTTGCAATAAGATCTGTTTCGAAGGAAATAAATTTATCTTATTTAGTACTGGATCAGTACTAATCGAGTAACGACGAGAAGTAGACCCACCAGGCTTGAGAATGGCAAGTGAGACCTTGCCGAAACGTCGCCAAAACAATGGTTTTCAAGAAAACCAGCATTTTACAACGCGGAGTCAAACCCGGAAAAATAGTGACAGCATATATATATATATATATATATATATATATATATATATATATATATATATATATATATATATATATATATATATATATATATATGTATGTATATAGGGAGGTTTCTAGCTATGACGCAAGATGGTGTATGTAAACGTGTTAATTTTCTTTGTATCATTTGTATCTTGTATCTTGTATCTAATTATTTACTCCCTCATCACGGTGCTAAAGTCCTTAAAGGGCCTTGATCATCTTAAGTTGCTCCATTGTACTCTATTCCTTGATTGTATTTTTTAGTTGGCAGCACCTATCTTCTCAGAAACCTTTCTGACGCTGTGTAAATGTCTAAAACTGCTACGAACAAAAACGGAGATTTAAAGACCAAGCCCCAGTATACATCAAGACTTATAAGATGAGAAAGAGTTAAACCGACAAGTACATAAATTGAGAGACCAAGGAATTGTAGAACCATCTACATCAAAATACAATAGCCCCGGTAGTGCTTGTACCGAAAAAGGCTATATATGGAAATAAACCATGTAGATTATGCATAGATTTTAGACAATTGAACAAGAAAATAATCACAGACAAATTCCCATTACCAAGAATAGACTCAATACTAGATCAACTAGGGACAGCAAATACAAAATAGCAATACAAAAATCATCAAGGAAATACACATCGTTTATCACGGAGAACGGCATTTCAATTCACCAAATACCTTTTATATTAAACGTAAGCCCAAATAGCTTTTCAAGAATGATGTCAATAGCTTTTTCAGGTTTAATCCCGGACAAAGCATTTCTTTATATGGACGTTATAGTAGTAATAGGAATATCAGAAAAGCATCATTTAGATAACCTAAAAACGACATTTGAGACATGAAGGGTTTTAGTTCGAAAGTTTTAGAACGAAAGTTCAACCTAAAACTTATCTCAGGAAAATGTCAATTATTTAGAAGAGAAGACACATATTTAGGACATGATCTTTCTCATGAAGGAATATCACAAGATACAGCAAAACAAGCAACGATTGAACAATATCCGACACCTAAGACAGCAAAAGAGACAAAAAGATTTTTAGCATTTTGTAACTACTACAGACGTTTTATTTAAAATTTTGCTAAAATATGCATACCACCAAACAGATTATGGATGAAAGGAGTAGAATTTTTTTGGTCTAAGGAATGTGAAGAATCATTCAATAAGTTTAAATCATCTCTGATGAAACCACCAATATTAAAATATCCGGATTTCAGTAAATAATTCATTTTGACAACAGACGCATCCAACGAGAGTTGTTCAGCAATTTAAAGTAAAAAATATAACGGAATAGACCTACTGATAGCATACGCATTAAGAAATTTTAGTAAAGGAGAATGTAATAAACCTATAATCATCAAGGAATTACTAGTAATTCATTGGGGAATTAACCATTTCAAATGTTATTTATATGGAGCACCAACATTTTTGGTAAAAACGGATCATAAACCCTTAACACACCTTTTTTCAATGAAGGAACCTACCTCAAAACTTACGAGGATCAGACTACGTGAAAAGTTCCCTGAATTTATACCCTGGAACCCTAGTTTGGGACGGCATAAGTTTCAATACATTTTATATAAAAAAAAATCATTGCCACTAGGATACATTTATTTCCAAATTATTTTTTCAGATGGAAGAGAGTAAAGCTTTTTTACTACTAAAACATCTTATGTTCCGCAGAGGAATGCGCACTCAGTACCTTCCGGATATGGCGAGCTTACAAATTAAGCTGTATCAATTATCTAGATTATTACACGACCAGATTCACGATGTTTACGTTCATTTTGACCTTCATGAAGTTACACCAACTTTGTATGCAGCTCCATGGTTGCTGACGGTTTTTTCCTCACAGTTTCCATTGGGATTCGTCACAAGAGTATTTGGTAAGTGTCACTATATGTCGTAAAATATCAGCTTCTTTTAAGGTTTTTTATAATTACCATTTATTTAGTCCTCCTAAAATGTACCATTTCCGGTTTATTTTAAAAAAATTCTGCCATCTAAAACTATGTACGATATATAGTTTTAGCAGCAATCTGCTTTTTAAATAGCGCCAAGGTAGAGTAACAAGAGTAGAGTAGTCATAGATGATAGAAGCTCTGAGCTTCTGTATAAGTCGCTCTGAGGTGAGTTACTCAGGTCAGGAAGGATATTTGTCGTGGTTGTAAGAAGCGCAGTAGAGAAATATGTAAATGTTAGTTTCACCAAATAAGAAACCCTCAGAGCATGTTCAGAACAGTGTATGTAATCTACGCATCATATTAGATGGAGGTAATGACAAAGTTTTAAATATTAAAGAAGATAAATTCATTAATGAGGTCCATAAAAAACATTAAATTTAGAAATAAAGATAACTTGCAATAATGTTTCAAATTTGAAGAATGATAATAATATGATTAAGTGTGAATTGCAGCAGTTTGTTCCTACTAACATATTAACTGAATATGAACTAGGGTTTAAAAAATAGTTTTTTAAATGATTTTAGCAAAGTGAAACTTTCTAACATTAAAAAATTTAAACAGATAATTAATAACTTATTTTCCAATCAATTATTTTTAAACAGTGACAAATGGTTCAAAAACTTATCCAGCGTTGACTTTCCAAAAGAAGTGTCTGATTTTCTCTCTCTTGGTCCAAATTTTAGTGTCAAGTGTACACCCCCAGATTTTGAGTTAGATATTCTTTAAACTTTGAGGGTATACAAGGCAACTATCGAACACGGCGATTAATTTAATCTTGCCCAAGTACTTTCGATCAATAGATCATCTTCAGGGGCATCTGAAATAAGCCAAGAAACGTTTTTTATTAAAAAGGAAAATTAAATCACTTGGATAAAAAACTCCAAGTTGATGGTTGAAAAAAAAATTATTTTATATGTGATAAACGTTTATAGATTTACTTCGTCAGTTGTGGCCTATCCGACATAGTAGAATGTCATAAATGTAAAATTTGGACATAACAATACAAAATACAATACACTAAGACAAACAAACACTTTAAAATTTATAAGGAGAAGCTACATGTTGTATAGAAGCCGGAGACAGAATGGGCTCCCGGTCTGACGGAAATGTAGAGATGACATGGGACAAATGACAGCTTGTGAAGGGCAGTTATGTGATCTGCACCTTTCAAAATTCTATGACACTAAGTATTGACCAAAGGTCCAACTGACACCACTATAGGAAATCGACTGATGAAATATAAAATTATATAGTATAATTTTTTTATGTAGATTGAATAATCCCAATCTCACACTCAAACCTGTCTATGATAATTAGGATGTTGGTTTGAGAGCAATTGAAGTTGACATAAAGTATGAATGTGAGAAAAGACTAACAATATATTAGACAGTGGATGGTTGACTACAATAAAATGGTCCACCAAGCGCTATCAGTACTGTAAAAAAGAAAAATCTGAATATGCAGTTAAATTACTAAAAGTTAAAATCAAAATTGAAGACAAAATATATAAATGTGTTATAGTCCACGTAGTTCAGTTGAATCCACAGTCAATGGAAGAACTTTAAAATTAATATTGAAATGCTCAGTGCATGGAGTCTAAACAGTCGAGCTGGGTCCTCTACGAGGTGAAGCTGTAATAAAGTTTTTAAATATAGGATTAAATTTAGTACAATTTAAATTAATTTGAGTATTAAGACAGTGAGAGTTTTTATTTGTTTCCCTTGTAATCTCCAAATCTTCCAATAAATTCAACTCAAGATAGTTTTTCTTTCTGCTAATGTCATGTAAGATAGATGAACCAGAATTGATGTTAAAATTGTGGTTGCTGGATACTAAGTGTTGACCAAAACTTGAAGAATTTGGTCTTTTCAAATGTTCAGAGACTCTAGTGGATAACTTTCTGATGGTTCTACCTACATAAGAGGCATCACAATCATCACATTTCAATTTGTAAATACCACTTTTATCAAGTGTATTCATCCTATCTTTGGTATTGATTAAGAAGGAACCTAAAGTGTTATGTGATTTAAAGGAAATTTTGATGTTATCAATTGTAGAAGAAAAAAGTTTAGATATTTTATTGGAAATGCTACTAATATAAGTGAAGGAGAAATATCTGATGTTATCTGAAGCATTCGGTTGGAAAAACTGTGAAGAATATGCAAGCTTTTCTGCAATTTTTAGTTTCGCTCTATTTAGAAGTTTGTATATAATGTTGGGATCATAGCCACTATTGAAAGCAATCTGCTTAAGAGTATTAAGTTCTGTATTAAAATTATCATCAGAGAGAGGAAATTTAAGTAACCGATGAATGTAACTGTTGAAAGCAGCCATTTTATGTTGAGTTGGGTGATTAGACGTTCCATGTATAACGTGATCTGTTTAGGTGGGTTTTCTATAAATGTTGTACTCTAAAGAATCTTTCTTACGGGAAATAGTCATATCCAAGAAATTCAACTTATTGTCAGATTCTGGTTCCAGAGTAAAAGAGATGTTAGGATGGAGGTTATTAAGATCATCCAGAATCTGTAAAGCATCATCTTGGGTTCCCTGTATGAGAGCTATACAATCATCAACATATCTTGACCAAAAAACTATTTTGTTGTTGTTATTAACAAACTTCTGTTCTAAGCTATCTAGGAAAATATCAGCTAGAAAAGGTGATAATGGAGATCCCATTGCTAAACCTGTTGGTTGTTTATATATTTTTTGATTGAATTGGAAGAAGTCCTGATCCAGACAGAATTTAAGCATAGTTAATATAGCATCTTTATCCTTTGCAGATATGTTGCAATTGTCTAGAAGGTTGTGTACTAAAGGTAATGTTTCATCTCTTGGTACAGAAGTAAACAAATTGGAAACATCAAAAGAAACTAAATAAAAACCCTCTTCTATCCTAATGTTATTTAAACGTTCTATTAGATCTAAAGAATTTTTAATAGAGAACTTAGGTTTAAAATTAGTGATAGACCGTATTGTGTTGTAAATAAACTCTGATAATATAGAAACTGGAGTGTTACAAAAACTTACTACAGGCCTTATGGGACAATTGTGTTTATGGATTTTAGGCAGTCCATACAACCTAGGTGTTATAGGTGTTATGTATTGTATTTTGTATTGTTTTGTCCAAATTTTACATTTAAGACATTCTACTATGTCGGATAGGCCACAACTGACGAAGTAAGTCTATAAACGTTTATCACATATAAAAAAATTTTTTTTTTCAACCATAAACTTGGAGTTTTTTATCCAAGTGATTTAATTTTCCTTTTTAATAAAAAACGTTTCTTGGCTTATTTCAGATGCCCCTGAAGATGATCTATTGATCGAAAGTACTTGGGCAAGATTAAATTAATCACCGTGTTCGATAGTTGCCTTGTATACCCTCAAAGTTTAATTATTCGAACATTCAACCTTATATTGAGATATTCTTTAAGCTGATGTAGAAAATATTATCGATGAGGTAGGTAGAAGTAACAAATGTAGTAACTAATTACGTACAGAATTCGTAGAAAAGTCGGAGCGTGAATGGTGAAGTTGGAAGTCGGATCACAGGTTAGATCGAAAATTTCCTCAGTCAGTTAACCTTCGGCACCTGTTACGTATTAGATTTCCATAAAATACTTTACGCAAAGATCTCTAGTTCGCGAATATTTAATAGAAAATAAACTTTCAATTGCACGAAACATACCTTTTTGTTAGGGCAAATCATTTTCCTTTCTGTAGATCTATTTTGGACATTCCCATACAGGTAAATTTCCGATACTCCGGATTGGCTACGGAAGAATTATCAACAAACAATGAACATTAAATCATAGTTGTAGCAAAAGATCCCTAGTTCGCAAAAAAAAAATAATAGAAAATAACTTTCAATTGGACGAAAAAATATATATATATATATATATATATATATATATATATATATATATATATATATATATCCGGTTTTTAGGCGTTACGCCCGTCCGGTAGGGATCTATGGAGGAATATCACCGAGCCGCAAGCCCTTATCTCTTGCCGTACTGCTCCACCATAGGCCGATCAGATTCCAGCATATTCTAGTCTAAGCCGCAGATTCGTCTAGAATTTTAAACTGCTGCGTTAGACTTTTTGTTTTCTGTACACCGAGCTGGGGCTCGATCCCACATCCACTGAACCATTCGACAGTGAAGCGAATGAGAGGCAGCCGCACAGCCCGCTGAGCTATCTGACCGACGAAAAATTATTCCTATTAAAAATATACGACACACACACAACAAAATAAATTTCAACTCCAGTTTAAAACAAATAAAATATAGATTTTATACCTACACAAATCTTTAAAAACTATAATTTTTTCCTACATTTTAAAAAGTCATAAAAATCAAGGATTGAAAAAATTAATTAATTCAGCCCTAGACAAATAACTAGAGAAACGAAACCTAATTTTTAAACATACATATCATAACATACATATAAGGATAACAAGAAAAATGCTGCCATTTTCCTCCTCCTAATTATATTTTGCGTAGTGTTTATTCGAAATATTTTTTGGTTAAGCGATGTATACCATCGTGAAAACAACCTAGAACTGAAGTTGGAGCGCTAATTGGATAGGAAGTCGGAGCGTGAGTGGAGACGAACATCCAACTAGTAGTCCTACTAAGTGGGACCACAAGTCGGAACGTGAATGGCCTGTCTAAGGATATACGGTAGCAATAAACAAATAGGAGTATATTGACAAAACCTTAACGTTGATAAACAGTGATATAAAAAAACTACAATGACTTAATAAAAACCTTAAAAAACCAACATAACTTACTGAACAAGTTGCAAAGAAGTTGAACATTTATGACTTATGTTTCCCTAAACTTTATTGTATGCCTAAAATCCATAAATTTGACAAATGCATTTTTCATACAAAATAAACAACAAAATCCATG